GTGTGTGTGTGTGTGTGTGTGTGTGTGTGTGTGTGTGTGTGTGTGTGTGTGTGGTTGTATTATTGTGCATTTGAATGTAGCAGAACACATAGCAGTCTCTGCATGCAGTTTAGTCACTCAGCAGTGTAACATGATTATTTCCAACCCACTTAAGTCGACTCATGACACACCTCACACATTACAGCCATAAAGGCTTAGAGAAGGAAGATGAAACGTGTTATAGAGACTAAGTAAGGAAAGTAAACATTAGGAATAATCTGCACTGATTTAACTGTAATGATTGTTTATTCTTCTTGTTTATTCTGCCATTCTTCAAGACATGGAGCAACTTGTGGATACAAATACAGCTAGCTTTCTGCTTCCAATCAACTATATAGACCCATATGTAAATGATGATGTAATGTAATTGATTGTGATAATTTATATTTAAAAAGCATGTGAAAGAACTTATGGGGCATTTTTGAGTTYATGGTAGTTTAAAGATGGCAACAACCCACTTTGACCCCATCAGTTTGGTCAGAATTGAAAGTTGTTGCTCCCAAACTAGGGCTGTCCAAAGAGGTATTTACTATAGGTAAGATAACTGTTCATAGACAAGTTTTTGCTTGTTTTTCTCCCAGTATCTGCTGAGAGAAAACGTAATAAAAAAAGTGATTTTGAGAGTAGATTTTGTTTCATGGTTTCATGGAATCCATGTCATTTTTTTTTTATTCCTGCTGGTTTTTTTGGGTTCAGTGCTTTTAATAAAGCTCCTGCCCTTGGTTTAGTGTTCTTGACAGTTTTGATTCATTATTCATTTTGTAGGGATGGTTTCCTTTTTTTCATTTCAGTTACRTTTTACTTTCTTCCTCGTCACTCTCCTGGTGTGATTACTACACCTGTTGCTCCAATCAGATTTCTTCTCTCAAAGTATAAAAATTTCTTGAGTTTTTTTGTTTAATGCTGTTCATATTTGAAACTTAATGTCTTTGCTTTCATCAAGTTTTCAAGCTTTTGCAGCTGTAGCACCTTTCACTTTTCAAACCTGGATAGATTTTGCAAGATCTTTGATTCAACTTTGTCTGTCTGTTAGCAAAATATCTCATGAACCACTGGACAAATTTCATTGAAAGCTTCAGAAAGTGATTACTAGGTGTACGACTACAATTGAATAGCTTTTGGAGCATATCCAAATCAAGATGGCTGCCTCAGCCAATTGACCCTGTAAAACACAAAAATGGCCATAGTTCAGTCAGTTTGACAAATACTGSATTGAAATTTGGAGTGGTAGTAGCTGAGAGTCCTCCTAACACAAACACTAGGAACTGCTCTTGTCATAGCTCCTTTTAAAGAAACACATGCATGCATTTTCTATATTTTTGTGTCTTCTTGTATGAGGGGGATCTGTATACAGAACATGCATAAAGACTCGTTATCTTCCTTTGGCTGAGGCATCGGACCACTGCTGCATCAAATATGCATCAAGATAAACGAGGAGCGCACTTGTCTCTCTCTTTAACTTTCTGCTCTCGCCGCCTTTCCCTCCTTTCAAGAACGCACATCATAATGAATCGAAGCAACTCGAGCGTTAAGTCAGCTCTAATTAATATTTCAAGACATCCCGTACGTTTAAGCGCCGGCTCCTCATCTTCATTACTGTAATTAAGAGCAGGACTGGTCACATGGATCACCCCCCCCACCCACACACACACACATACACAAAATATATATATATTGAAAATCTACCATAAAAAGTTTAAGTTTCCTTTAAAATTAATAATTAGCATTGTCAGATTTGTGCATTACAAATTTCATTTTTTAAAACAAAAGTTTACGATAATGGAGCTCCACCAGTAAGTGCGGCGTGAGAAGTCAGCCTTGGGGGACGTGTGTGTGTG